CAAGCAAAAATGTAAATTTAACATTTACTCCAAAAATTGTTATAACAAAATCGTTGGAAATTTTATAAACTACGAGTTTCTCTTTATATCTAGTTTGATAAGATGCATAGTTCTTAAAATTTTTAATAAAATTTCGAATTTTGCACCGGCTTGCCATCGAGATCTTTTCAAAGCATTTGATAATAAACAGGGTTAAAAAATGCTAAGACTGGTTTCTTGTTGAGTAAATTAATTATTTATACATACCGGAAAATTCTTACAACTTGCCTTAAGGCAAAATGCCACTTATACCTACTTTAATATTTATTACCAATTGTTTATATCCATCAAGTCCATCGATCATCCATAATTATTTCTATGAATAATTTATCATTATCAATTAAACATATTTTTTTCCATTTCCTTTAACAAATCGCGCACGCCATAAATTGTTTTATAAATAAAATATCGCAAATTTATTAATTTAATTCTTATCTAATCCGGAAACACCCGATTTTTGTTCCGGTTGCAAAAAAAAGATTGCAGAAAAATCGAAGGAAGGGGAAAAACTATTTTTTATTATTAATAATATTTTTTTTTAGTTACGTCAGTTTGTAATAGTCATCGGTAATAGATAGATTAAAAGTTAGTTTATAAATAAACTAGGTGTAAGTGGGAAAAATAGATATATTACACGTGGTTTTGTGTGAGATTTTGTTCATGGTTTAGTAGTGATATGTGTAAAGGCTTGTTCGTGCGTTTTTTATTATATCTCTTGTAACTTTTAAACGGTTTGTTTGTGATTAATGAAATATTTGGCAAATTTGTGCTGAATTAAATGATATATAATATTGTCTAATATTGTAATGACCTACAGCAACTCGGTATACTTCAAACCGATATTCAAAATGCTTAATAAATCCTAGAGAGCACCTAGAAGTTTCGACTCACCGTTAGAAAAGTGGATATATTCATTAAATTTTGAGTTACTTCTAAACCTTTTATTGAAATCAAATAAAATGTTCGATAAATTTATACAGGATGAAATAATCTACATTAAATTTTAATAATATACAGTTCTACAATAATTTCGTGTACTTCAAAATTGCAATTGAACATAGAAGAAAACTTTCTGCTATAAGTAACATTTCTATGCATTTATTATATCTCTTGTAACTTTCAAACAATTTGTCTAATTTAAATACAATATTTGACAAATTTATACAAAATTAAATAATGTATAATATTGTCTAACATTATAAAACCCTAAAGCAACTCGTTATACTCATTATTGCAATTCAAAACACTAAATATACTCGAGCACGTTACCAGATATTTCTGTGCATTTATTATATATAGTGTAACTTTAAATTAATTCGTCTAAAATTAATGAAAAATTCAAAGATCTTTTGGAAAATTAAATAATCTATATTATTTTCTAACATCATAACACTCTAAAGCAACTCGGTATACTTTAAAATCGCAATTGAAAACACGACCAACAATTTTAGCAAAGGTATAAACTTTATTGTGGAATAGAGTAAAAGCCACAGCAAAGCGTGGCCGGGCCTGCTAGTATATATATATATATATATATATATATATATATATATATATATATATATATATATATTGGTAGTTTTTTCGACGTTGAAACATATTTCAAAGTAACTAGCAGCCCATTCGTCTAAATAAAAAGGTATAAAGTATTAAGAACTTTTATTTATACGTTTCGACACCAGATGCGTGTCATCATTCAGAAACACCAGGACAAAAACACTCAAAAAAATATTATTTTAAAAAATTAAACTTGTAACATATTAGAAAAGGACATTTTTTTGGAAAAATAATGATTAACTACAATATTAAAAATATTTTGAAAAAAGTTTTGAAATGAAACATTATGACGCATGAAACACGCCCATATCAAATAAATATAAATATAAATATAAATATAAATATAAATATAAATATAAATATAAATATAAATATAAATATAAATATAAATATAAATATAAATATAAATATAAATATAAATATAAATATAAATATAAATATAAATATAAATATAAATATAAATATAAATATAAATATAAATATAAAAACAAAAGGTTCGGCTTTTCAAAATGTTTTTAATTTTAATTTTGTAGTTATTCATTATTTTTCCAAAAAAATGTTTTTTTCTAATATGTTACAAGTTTAATTTTTTAAAATAATATTTTTTGAGTGTTTTTGTCCTGGTGTTGCTGAATGATGACACGCATCTGGTGTCGAAGCGTATAAATAAAAGTTCTTAATACTTTATAGCTTTTTATTTCGACGAATTTTAGTTACTTTGAAATATATATATACATATATATATATATATATATAATAAAAAAAAATTAAATATATATTTCTAAAAAAAATGCGTACGTTTTTTTAGAATAAAAAATTCAACCAAATTTTTTTCTGTGAGTCTTATTTGTAAAACAGACTTTTATATTTTTTCTGCCAAATTATTTGAAGTATAAAAATGTTACAATTTTCCAAAAAGTACAAAAAATCTCCCAAAAAACCAAAACCCGACAAATCAACATCAAGCACCTACAGCACTTTCGCAAATGAAGACATTTACAACACCACAGAAGAAAATTTAACATTCAAATTCGTCGCAAAATCCAAAACAAATCCAGAAATGTACGAAATAAAACTCCCATCCACTTCTGGAATCAAATACAAACCTCCTGGTCGAAAAACCAGAAAAAAACGCCTTAAGGAATGGTTCAGGAAGAGATGTCTTGGTTGCATCTACTGCAAGAAGAAAGGTAATAGGAAATACGACTTGGATTCTGTTGAGGATACAAGAAAAGTTTCTTTCTTTTGTCGCAAATTCTGGAAAAAAACAATTGACCAAAGTCTTCCTCCGCCAGTGGAGGACTTTAATGCTAAATTGAGGGCTCTGAATGCCCCAAACAATGATGGTCAAAGTAATTCCTCTTCTATGGTGACCTTACCATTGACTCCGAGTCGAGAGGCGACTTTGAGGAGATCTGAAGATTGCAAATGGAAAGATTCACCTAAAATAGGCACTACGTTTTTGGGAGACATTTTGGGGACCAGGGATAAATTTTTGGAGAGGTTGGAGTACGACAGGAGTATCCCTAGGAAGAAAAAAACAAAGGATCAGACTTCTGAAGTTTTGGTTGCTGGTAAGAAGAACCAGATTTTTTTTGCAGGATTCATGATAAAATTGATTCCCAGGATTTTTTTTAACTAGGGTAGTTGTAGTAATGGGCCAAATATCAAAAATGAAAATTTTGTTTGAAGGTTTCTGAACATTTTGGTATACCTCAGAAACTAAATGGATGTGTGCGTGTGTATGTATGTATGTATGACCGTGTTTTCGGGCGCACGAATCAACCGATTTGAATGATTCATTTACCATTCGATTCCTATTGATAGGGAGATGTGCTGATTAGTTTTTGGCAAAGGCAGGTCCCGGAGTTACGGAGATACGGAGCAAACAGTGCAGAAAATACAAATTGAGTTTTTGAGAAAACGGTGTATCGGATTTGAATGATCTAAAAAACATTCAATTTGTAATGATTGGGAGAAGTGGTGATTAGTTTTTGGCAAAGACAGGTCCCGCCATTTCGAAGATACAAAGCTAAATGTGCAAAAAATGGCATTTTTGAGTGAACTAAGCGTCCGATTTGAATTATCTAAATATAAAACTTTCTGCTTGTATTGACAAAACAATTCTTTTGAGGATAAAAAATTCTAACATCTTTTATTTATTTTCCATAAAATATTTTTGTAATTTTAGATTAAAAATTCAAAAAATGACCCAGGCTAAGCACAGTCTAAGCGCCACTCTGGTACAAATGTTTACCCAAGTGCCTTTAGATTGTTTATGTATTGGAGCACTTTTCCAATTTTGTGAAAACTATTGTAACATTTTTTAAAAAATGAATTCTTTCAATTTTAAGCAGGAGAGTGAGGTCGTATTATTTTACAAAATTTATTTATGATATTTTTTTTAAGAGTGATGACGAACTTATTTAATATTTTTGAAAAAATGATTTTTTTTTTCAATTTCAAGCAGAATAGTGAGGACGTACTTATTTATTACAAAACTTATTTATAATATTTTTAAAAAAAGATTTTTTTCTATTTTAAGCTGAAAAGTGAGGTCGTATTTAAAAAAAATAATTATATTTTTTTAAAAATGAATTCTTACAATTTTAAGCATACGAGTGAGGTCATATTTCATTAAAAATTGATTTATAATATTTTTTTTGCAAAATTTACTTTTAATTTTATTTGAAAAATGATTTTTTTGTATTTTAACCCGAAGATTCTTACAATTTTCAGCATAAGAGTGAGGTCATATTTTTTTACAAAATTCATTTATAATATTTTTTAAAAGACGAAGCAAAAGAGTGAGGACGTATTTATTTATTACAAAATTTATTTATAATATTATATTTTTGAAAAATGAATTAAATTCAAAAAATCACCCAGACTAAGCACAGTCTAAGCGCCACTCCGGTACAAATGTTTACCCAAGTGCGTTTAGACTGTTTATGCACCGGAGCACTTTTCCAATTTTGTGAAAACTATTGAAAAAAGTGAAAATGCCGCCAAGCTAAGCACAGTATAAGTGAAAACGTCTTACAGAATTATTTGCAAATGCGTTTAGACTGTGACTATACGGGAGCACTTTTTCAATTTTGTGTAAATTTGGTAACTTTTTTTTGAAATTGAATTTGAAATGAAATGACGATTGTTAATGTTCTGGAGAAAAATTGATTTATGATTTATGATTTACATTTGATTATTTGCTCAGATATAACAAAAGATATCAAAAATAATGAAAGTTACAGTATCTGTAATAATATATTTGAAAACGTTTAATTTTTTTCGAATATTTCTTTACGGTACGAGAAGTTCTAGCAATTTGCCTTAAGGCACGATGCCATACACCACTAGTTTACTATAAGTATTGCAGGTTGCTGATTTATTATCTTTTTTTCCAGATGACAGTGGAGTTTCGGCCAACAGTTCGCCCCTGACCCGCCTAAGGACCGCCGGCGGTCACCATAGAGATCTGGGCCAAGATTGGGCCGCCACTGGCGGTCTTCAGGATGATGACGTCACCGGAATAGGTTCCGGAAGCGACAGGATGCTCCGGTTGCATAGCAACCGGAGTCTGTCATCGCTCGGAGTAAGTAGATAATCTCCAATCAAATTAGTAGATGATTTATTTAGTTGCTTACACCTAACAATTTGATTTTCAGTTGCGATCTGATTCGATGGCCTCAGTCTACTCAGGAGCCGGTGACGGTCGATATGGAACAGTTGCAGTCAAAGGAGAAGTCGAATTTGGACTCCAATACAACTACAAAACTGATTCCTTGATGATCAGAATCAAACAATGTCGAGATTTGGCCCAAGTCGACGCCAAGAGAAACAGATCTGACCCATACGTAAAGGTAAATAGACAAAAAAGAGTGCGCGTAAGGATCACACACGATTGGAGTAAAACTTATTTGCTAGTATACAAAGTAGCAATTTTAAGTTACGTAAAAATAAATACATCATATAACAATTTTGAATAATGTTTATTAGTAATATGGTAACACTCGTGATGCCGAACATATTTATTAGTGTCAACCATTATACACATTTATATAATGATAAATTATAAATTGTATATTTATTAAAATTAAACTTAAAAACATGTATAATATTCAAAAACAATAATGTAATCGAAGTCATACTTCAAATACGACATGATCGGTTTGTCGTTGTAATTAGCATTTAGGACTTGGACCTTTATAATTCTATAATATTCGTTCACACAGTGGATTATGTTTAACAACGCCTAAGCAAATATTGTTTTTGCAAATTCGCTCATCCTGCAATAATTGTGTTTGAAGAACTTCATGTGATTAAAATTAACATACATTCATTTACTGCGTATTATTTTTACTTTTTCGCTGGCGATATAATCTCGTTCTTTGAACAGCTGTAATATCTGTCTTGCCTAAAAAATTGAAGCCATACTTTTATATTTGTTTTATTTATCAAGCCCTGCACATAGCTTGATCTATGAATCATTTGCTTTTTATGTGAACGTTAATGCAATGATCATCATCAATATTACGCGGTAATAAATTAACCATATTATTAATGTCAACATGCACATTTATAATTTGGCCAAATATTCCGAATTGTCCATTTGCATGTCGCAACCGTCTAATTTGCATGAAACACAACCTAGATGAAATTATCCTTTCAGATACAATATCTAGGTGGAAATAAAAACTCGTTAAATTTACACAAAGTGGGAGTTTTACCCGAATTTAATGCTTTTCGACAAGATTGGCATCCAACCTGATTATTTGAATTAATATTCAGAAAACCATTATCAAGAATTTGTTTTTGAGCTGCATTTAATATTTTTACGTCACTTTGAAACCAAAGTCGATCACACACAAAACATAATAGTTTTTCAAACAATTTTCGTGCATTCCTAAACAAACTGAAGTCTTTATATGGAAGTTCAAATACTTCATTTGACTCTTGCAAAAGATCAGTTCTTGTCACATTATTAGTCACATTATATGCAGAATCATTAATATGCAATTGACGTGATGTAGTTGCTGTATCAGAAAAATTTTCGGCAGTACTTTTATCTAAAAAGATAACAGAATAAAATGTTTAAATGTTAATAGTTGAAGCGTTTTTCAGGAGTCAAATAGTGGAAAAATATTCTTACTTATGTCAATGGTGTTGACATTAACATCTAAATTGATACCTCAGGCGCAAGATTTTCTAATAAATTGACAGCGGCCGATTATTTTCCCGCAGTTGTTTTCTTTGACGATGTAATCTTGATCTTTCAGAGTTTGTAAGAGGCTTTGAACCCTGCTTTGAATTTTTTGTATGTTTCTGGATAAAATATTCTTCCGATCCAGATATTTTTTATTAACTCACAATTTATACTACTATTTAAATAATATCTATTATTATTGATTACGGCTTGCTTATGAATAAATAAATAAATAAATAAATAAATAACCTTAAAATGTTTCGACATAACACCGATAAATGAACAATATGCTTCACGCTTTCGGTGACGTAAGCACGTATAAAGTCACGCATACCAAGAAGCCTCGCACAAATACGACCAATCAGAATCGACTCGTATAGAAATTATATCACCGAGAGCGAATGACTTTCACTTGACCTTGCCGTAACAATTTTCGTTGCAATGGTACGGATTTACACCCATGCCGCGCCTAAAGAAGTTTTACTTCAAAAACTGGCAAAATTTGGTAGAGATCACCATTACCATTTGTTTTCCTCCAGGTTTACCTTCTGCCAGACAAATCCAAGAGTGGTAAAAGAAAGACCAAGGTGAAGAAGCATACTGTGAATCCAATCTTCGAGGAAACTCTGAGTTTTAACTTGTCTTTAGAAGAATTAAAGACTAGGACTTTATGGTTGACAGTTTGGCACTCCGACATGTTTGGACGCAACGACTTTTTAGGAGAAGTCATGATGCCTTTGGAGGACAAAGTGTTTGATGATCCTGCACCAGTTTGGTATCCTCTCCAGGAAAGGGTAAGGGATAAAAGACAAATTATACTTTTCTGGTAAATTTTTAATGTAGATATTTCTGTTTCCTCTTGGTAAATTTTATATTTCTGTTTCCTCCTGGTAAATTTTATATTTCTGTTTCCTCTTGGTAAATTTTATATTTCTGTTTCCTCTTGATTATTTTTATATTTCTATTCCCCAGACGGAGCCTTTTGAGGAGTCAGTTAGTCACAAAGGTGATGTCATGTTGGCTTTGAAATTTGTACCACCAGGAAGTGATACCAGTGCTTCTGGTAAGGCAGGGAAAAACAAGAAATCGAGAGGATCCTTGCACGTTTTGGTCAAAGAAGCCAAAAATTTAACAGGTGCCAAGGCTAATGGAACTTCTGATCCGTTCTGCAAAAGGTAAAGTAGCAATTGAAAATTCTATTACACTTTTAAGTATTTTATATTTTTCAATATATTACAATTTTGAACCCTCTAAAACTTTTTTAAAACACTAAAACTTTTTTGAACACTCCACAACGTTTTTGAATACTCTAAAGCTTTTTTTAACGCTCTAAAACTTTTTTGAACACTCTAAAACTTTTTTTTAACACTCTAAAACTTTTTTTGAACACTCCAAAACTCATTTTGAACATTGTACAACATAGTTGAACACTTTGCAAGATTTTGTAGCAGTCGACATGATATTTAAACACTTGTCAAGATCTTGGAACACTTAACAAGATCTTGCAACACTTGACAAAATTTTTGAAACACTTGACAAGATCTTGAAAATGCTTTAAAAAACCTTGGAACACTTGACAAGATCTTGTAACCCTTTACAAGATTTTTGAAACACTTTACAAGATTTTGAAAATACTTTAAAAGATCTTGGAACACTTTACAAGGTTATAGAAGGCTTTTCAAGACTATAGAACTTTCCAACATTTTGAAACAATTCCCAAAATTTTGAAACAATTTACAAAATTATAGAAAATTTTACAATACTTTAAAACACGTTACAAGATCTTGAAATATTTTCCAAGATCTTGGAACACTCTACAGCATTGTTAAGCACTTTACAACTTTGTTGAGTACTGTACAAAATTTTGGAACACTTTGAAAGATATTGGAACACAACTCAAGAGCTTTGAACACTTGACAAGATCATGGTCTAGTTTGCAAGATCTTGAAACACTTGACAAGATCTTGGAACATTTGACAAGATCTTGGAATATTTTGCAAGAGCTTGAAACACTCTATAAAATTTTTGAACACTTTTAAAACATCTCGAAACACTTTACAACATTTTGAAATACTTCACCAGATCTTGAAACACTGAACAAAATCTTGGAACACTTTGTAAGATCTTGGAACAGTTTACAACGTTGGTGAAAACATTAAAAAATTTTAGAATTTTTTTTTTACAAGATTTTGGAACGCTTGACAAGATCTTGGAACACTGTACAATATTTTTGAATACATTACAGCATTGCTGAGCACTTGACAACATTATTGAGCACTTTACAAAATTTTGGAACAATTTGAAAGATCTTGAAACACTTTAAAAGATTGTAACACTTCACAAGATTTTAATACTTTACATACAAGATTTTAACTCTTTTCAAAATTTTAACACTTTACAAGATTTTAACACATCACAAGATTTTAACACTTTTCAAGATTTTAATACTTTACACGATTTTAACACTTTACAAGATCTTGGAAGACTCTACAATATTTTTGCAAGATCTTGGAAGACTCTACAATATTTTTGCAAGATCTTGGAATACTTGTGAAGATTTTTGAACACTTTGCAAGATCTCGCAACACTTTGCAAGATCTTGAAACACTTGACAAAACCTTGCAACTCTTTGCAAGATCTTGGACCAATTTGCAAGATCTTGAGAAAACTTACAAGACCTCGGAACACTTATTTATTTATTTATTTATTTATTTATTTAAATATATACTTAGCCCACAGATTACTCCAGGAGGACTCAAAAATACAGATATTTTACATAATGAATAACAATTAAAATATATACAAAATTACAATATATAGTTAGTAACATAAAATGCTTAAGATAAAATTACATATAATGCAGAATGTAACAATATTATTTATAAACAAAATAAGATAAAATAATGAGGTATTTGAAAAGAAAATAAAAAAGGTTAACTTGTGCAGATGGAGATTATTTGATTAGGTGAAGTGTTGTGAATATCTGTTTCATTATTAATTGAGTTAAAGTTAGAGGACATAAGTAAAATAGGCGAATTTAAGAGAGAATTAGATTTAGGAGTAGGATAATTGAAAAATAATTGTGAACATTAAAGGATAGTTGGTTAAGAATAAGAGGACACTCTATAGAATCATTGCAAAGTTTAAATAAGAACATAATTGTACAGATAAATCGACGTGAGGCAAGGGAAATAATACCAAATTCTTTTAGTAAAGTGTTGTGTTCAAAGCCACGTTCAGGGTAAATTTTATATGTTTTATAATAAAGATATTTCAGAAATTTTCACTGAACCTTCTCTATCGCATCAGAGTTGTTGGTTTGATGAGGATACCAAATAATCAAACCATATTCTAATTTTGAACGTACAATAGAATAGTGCATGCAAAGAAGCGCATTGGTAGATTTAAATTGTAAACAATTATAAACAATTTGCAAGAAAATATTTACAATTTTCAAGAAAATAGATAAACAACTTGAATTTTTTTCTAGTTATCTGTTACCTGACAAAGGAAGAAGTTCCAAACAGAAAACACCGGTCATCAGGAGATGCCTGAATCCTGCCTGGAACTACACCTTTGTCTACGATGACGTCACATTGCAAGACCTTAACGAAAGGGCCTTGGAATTGACTGTTTGGGACCACGACAGATTGGGGAGCAACGAATTTTTGGGGATGGTTCGATTGTCTTTGGGAACAGGTAAAATAAAAAAAATATCATCAAACTAATTGAGAAAAATTAATAAATGAAATTGCTTTATATAATTGGACAAAAAAAGTATCAACAAAAGAACTGATACATCTTCACTTTGTGGGAATTATCAAGTAGTAGTAGTACATACATATATATATATATATATATATATATATATATATATATAAAAAACCTCGTGTCACGATGTTCGTTCGCGATGGAAGCCCAAACTACTGAACCGATTTTAAATTTTATTGGCTCATCGTGTGCATATATATCCAACTTAGGTTATAGGAAATTTTGAAAAGTAAATTTGAAACATAAATATATAATTTTTATAAATTTCAAAAAATTTTGACAGAAAATGACCAAAAAAAAAACAAAACACTAAGATGTCAAATGTCAAAATTTATGGAAAATTCGTGAAAAAAAGATTTATGATTTTTGAAAAAAAAAATAACAGTTCAAAAAATATAATTCAAAAACATATACATATACACAAAAAAAATTTTTTAACTTCAATAGGAAACAAATAAATTAATTATTCCAAGTTATGTTATAGGCAATATTGCCAAACAAATTATAGACAGAAAACATTATTGTAAAATAAATACTATCATTTTCGACCAAAAAGGAAATATTTTGACATTTATAAATTTAGTGCATATTGGATATATGAAATTGACATTCACTATTTTTAAATTAAATGCAAATATAAAAAATCTGATACTTATATAAAAAATTGTATATTTAGTTAATGATACTGCGTTGATTTAGACTAAAATCTAATTTATTTAGTGATTAAAAAAAATATTTCACTATTTGACATAAACAAAATTAAAATAAACAAAACACTATGATGGCGTTGGAATTAATTATCAAAGTGTAAAGAAATTAGCGTAATTAAAGTATAATATTATTATTAATACATCATGTATATTATAAGATCTTCTGCAAAGCGGCAAAATAGTTTTGATGGCAAAGCAACGTTTGCCGGGTCAGCTAGTATATATATATATATATACATATATATATATATATATAAAATTTATATATTACTCAAAATTTTCCTTACCCAGGTCTTTCCTCTAGGACTTTCTAACTACCAGGTATCTCTTTACCATTTTTTGTTCTAAATGAAAATTTTTAATCCAATTTTTTTATTTAGGAAAATACCAGGACAAACAAGTCGAATGGATGGATTCCCACGACCGAGAAATGACCCTTTGGAGGTCCATGCTGGACAGGCCCAATTTTTGGGTCGAAGGATGCATTTCGCTGAGGAATTCGAATGTTGCAAATAGTAAAGTTTAGTCTTAATATTTAAATATATATTCATGTATTTATGTGATGTTAGGAAAGTATATAAGTATATACATAATTATATATATATATATATAAATATATATATATATATATATATATATATATTACCATGCAATATCTATGTAGCCCTTAAGACGTTACTTATCATCATCACTGCAATTTACAACTTTTGTAAATGTTTTTTAAAACTTTTGTAATTTTTTTTTACAAACAGCATTTATTATAATTATCCATTCCCATTTTAAAATTGTCTGCGTTTAATCGAGTTAAACTTGGAACTAATTTTTACTAATTATAAAATTTTTTTTAACAATACGAGTTTCTTGTCTTGTTTGTCTTCGTGCAAATAACGAACTAAAGAAGCTTTTTTTTAATGTATATATTATATATTATATTATATTAATCGTCTATTACTATTATACTTAATTTTATTATATTGTAATTATTATGCTTAATTACTGTAAGTAATTGAAATTATTGTTATGCACTTTTAATAATGATTTGAAAGAATAAATTGTAAAGATTAAAAAATTTTTTTTTTAATTTTTAATTTTCAGTTATATATAAAGTCAGTAATTGTATTAGTAAAATGGATATATACATTTATATATTGATTTAAACACTACTAGGCATTTATATATGGGGTCAGTATATTAGAAAAATGGATATATACATTTATATTTTGATTTATACACTACTACGCATTTATATATGGGGTCAGTATATTAGAAAAATGGATATATACATGTATATATTGATTTATACACTACTAGGCATTTATATATGGGGTCAGTATATTAGAAAAATGAATTTATACATTTATATATTGATTTATACACGTTTTGGCATTTATATATGGGGTCAGTATATTAGAAAAATGGATATATACATGTATATATTGATTTATACACTACTAGGCATTTATATATGGGGTCAGTATATTAGAAAAATGAATTTATACATTTATATATTGATTTATACACGTTTTGGCATTTATATATGGGGTCAGTATAATAGAAAAATGGATATATACATGTATATATTGATTTATACACTACTAGGCATTTATATATGGGGTCAGTATATTAGAAAAATGGACATATACATTTATATATTGATTTATACATGGTTATATATATACTAGCTTTCTAGTATGGGAAATGGATATATAAGTGTATATATTGATTTATACATGGTTATATATATATATATATATATATATATATATATATACTAGCTGTCCTAGTTTGTATTGGAATTGGATATATATATAAGTGTATATATTGATTTATACATGGCTATATATATATATATATATACTAGCTGTCTCAGTTTGTATGGGAATTGGATATATAAATGTATATATTGATTTATACATCGTTATATATATATATATATATATATATATATATATATATATATATATATATATGTATACTAGCTGTCCTAGTTTCTAGGGGAATTGAATATATACATGTATATATTGATTTATACATGGTTATATATTTACTAGCGGTCTCGGTTTGTATGAGAATCGGATATATAAATGTATATATGGATTTATATATGATTATATATGGCTTAATTACCATAGTTTTCTTGGAAATTGGATATATCAATGTATATACTGATATTTTTATTGTTATATATTTGCAAAATAGATATATACATTGATATTTGTTAATTGGCTAAATAACGTTTGCTGGACTAGTTAGTTTATATGTATAATGTAATAAAAATAAATAACATAAATAAATAAAAAATAAAAATAGCTAATAAATAATGAATAAAATAGTTGTAGCAGAAAATAATGAATAAAAAATAATAATATATAAATAATTAACAATAAAGTTAAATGAACAAACGAATTATCTAATTGCAAAATGCATAAATCTAATTATTATAAAATATATAAATTTAAAAACGCGCACCTTCTACAATTTGAAAATCCCGCCCAATCCGCCATATTTAAAAATCTGGTGTTACCATCTCGAAAAAATTGTCAAACCTTTGACATGTCTCTTTGTCTTCCGCACGCGCACGCCATTTTGATACAGAAAGCTGAAAGCTGCTCGCTTGTAATTCTTTTGTAAATTCAAGTCATGTTTTACGAAAAACATTAATAATAGTATAAATAATTAATAAACTTAATGTCCTGTTGTACAAAAGGAATAGAAAGGTGTAACGTTTTATTTATTTTTTAATCGACACGAAACGAGAAGAGTTTTTGTTAAACAATGAGGATTATATGAGAACTGGAACTATAATCAGGTGATAATGGAATAAAAATATGTTATGTGTAAAGGATTATTTGTTTATTGTATGTACAAGTTGTTTATGCAATTGTATACGCAAAGATTTTAAGTTATTATAGTTTTACATTTTGTGTTTTCATGAGGTTATGTTTTGCTAATACAACTATGAGAGAAAACATCAATTTTTTGACATGTCATATTAATCATTTATTTTTGTATTTTTAGATTATGAAACGCTAGGAATATTATTAAAGGATTTTAGTTTACATTAAGATTAGTATATAAGTCTGTTTCAAAATGTGGTCGTCTCAGCCGAGCTCCAATTCTTCAAATATTAAAACTTTGGGGATGACTTCAGCTATTTCTACAGCCACACCGAAGGCTTTGGATTTACAAAAGACACAAGAATTACAAGATGCTTTAAGTAAGTAAAGGAAATACATTTATCTATTTAGTCAGAACAATGTTTTGAATTTGTTTTTCCTTTTTAGCTCCTTTCAAAGTTTTTGAATCTGAACAGGAGTTAAATCATCGCATGCAGCTTTTATCAAAATTAAATTCACTAGTTAAAGAATGGATAAAAGATGTTTCAATCAGTAGAAACATGCCTGAAAATTGTGCCCAACAAGTGGGTGGTAAAATATATACTTTTGGATCTTACAGACTTGGGGTAACCTCAAAATTTTATTATTTACACCCAAAAATACGTGTTCAATGTGTTTTTTTACCCAGGTGCATCATAAGGGGGCTGATATCGATGCTTTATTAGTTGCTCCAAGACACATAGACAGATCTGATTATTTCACATCATTTTTTGAGTTACTTAAACAGCAGCCTGAAGTGACAGACTTACGAGTAAGTAAAAAAATAGACTTATTATTATTATGTCTATTATTCAATTAATTTATTTCTGTGTCTTTTACCTCT